TATGGCTTTATTTAAGGTTTCAGTGAGCCAACACACCAGGATAAGGATCTTTTATTTTTTTTAAGTAATGTTTTTTTTAAGTAATGTTCAGGGAGCGTGAGCGCTGTTGATGGGAGTACTGTGCAAGGGGCATGTAGGACCTCTGGAGACCAACGCTGTTAGGGAGGATCAGTCTGGCTCTTAAACAGCACAGGGCAGAATCCTACTGTCACGTACCTTAGGGGAGTCTGAGATGTCGAGGGCGGCCTCTCTCGCTTCTCTGGTCCTGGAGCCCCTGAATGGGTACAGGAGCACCGGGGCACGAAGGGGCAGGAGTGCCAGTAGTAGCGGAAGACGAGGAGCAGGAGCAGCAGCCAAGAAAAGCAGGGTAGTTAGGACAGGCCGAAGTCATCAACATGCAGGCAGCGAGGTACAGAGGATAAGGCAGGAGGATGGTCTGGAACAAGCCGAGGGCCAATCACTGGAGAGAAGCAGAAAGGTCAAGCCAAGCCGGGTCAAGATAACAGGAACACTTCAGGAGCAGGATATAGGAACACAGGGAAGCTGACGATCTGACAGCAAAGGAGGTTTGTAAGTCACAGCCTTATATAGCCCAGAGGGCGGCAAAAACTCAAACAACACGTCGGCGCACGCTGCACATGATACAACTCTATTAGCTTCACCATGCGCATGCGCATGCGCAAACGGCAATGAAAGAATCCTGGCTTTGGCTTCCTGACAATTACACTGTGAGTAGAAACACAGATTAAATAAAATAAAAATGCTGTATTCTTTACTTGTTATGCAGCCTGGCTCCATAACGATTATAAAAACACAAAATATCAGTTGAACTAACTGGCCCAATCATTAGCTACCGTGAGCAGACTATGAAAGCTGAAGAAAACAATGATTGAATGAAATGATTGACATTCTAGCCTCAAATGTAAGCTATGTCCCTCTAATGACCTTGGTTGGTACAGCTTTTGTAATGCCCTATGAGCTCACTAGGTGGCGCTCACATTGCTATAATCTGACTGTTGTAACGCTTAAATATTTATCATGTGCTTTACCTCTGTTGTGTTAACATCTGGAGGGAAGAGAAAGTGTATTTATTTTAATGAACTGTGTTTTCTGTCATTTCTAATATATTCAGAGACAGTAAGATTTGTATTACTGTTTGCTTTCCCACTGAGGAGATTTAGATCTAGAAATTGAAATGTCTCTCCATTTGGTCTGGTGACCAATGTCAGACAGAAACTGATGGGAAATCCAAATTGTCACTGCTGTCGCCAGAACAGGAATAGAGGGGACATAGTCAATTGGGGGAATATGTTCCAGAGGCAACAACAGGAATTTACCCTCACTTTAAAGAGCTATACTTCTTCTTAAGCCTCCAGGACAGGAAGTGAGAGGAATTCTCCCCAGTTGGGTACAGACAGCACAGAAGAAAAAACAAAAAAAAGTGTTTCAATAATTTTCTATTCTATCTAAAACTACAAAGAAATCTTTGTGCTTCAGATACACCAAAGGGGCTACTTATAGTGAATTGCTGATACCCCTACCTGGTTTCTGTTGGACACCACAAATTTACTTTACGCTTTGGCCTACAATTTTATATTCATTCATAAAATGCAGACTGCAGTAGGGAGTCTGCAGTGTCCGGTGGAGTTTTCTCTGCTTGATGCAGAATTCTCTCTGCTTTGACAGGTCATGAGGGCAGGCATATATGCATACAGTATATATTATATATATATGGAGAGAGAGAGAGAGAGAGAGAGAGAGAGAGAGAGAGAGAGAGAAAAATGTTAAAACAATAATAAATAATATATAATAATAATAAAGAATAATAATAATAAAGAAGAACTCCAAGAAACCTTTTTATTAATCCTTGCAGTGGGGCTACCCTGGCACTGCAAGGGTTAAGTGCCCATTTGTGTCTAAAACAAAAGTTATACTCACCCGAAGCTCCCAGCGGCTTCTTCTTGGTCCTTTCAACGTCCCACTCCCTCCTCTCCAGCAGTAAATCATCAATGTATATACACTGTGTTCCGACATGAGGAGGCTGGAGAAGGTTCCAATGCTGCAGGGAAGGGGAGACAGGCTAGAGGGAGACCTGTGACAGCTGGCAGGCCCGGAGCTTTGGGTGAGTATATCTTTGTTATTGTAGCACTTAGACATGAACGAGTACCTATATATATTATATATACATATGTATTTATACAGTGATGACCTTGTTTATGAACTGCAAAACTGGAACATGATGCTCTTCCAAACAAAATCACAGTTTATTTCACATGCATCTGTACAAAAAAACTATCGCTGATGCATTTTTGCTCATGCTATGACTAAGGCCGCGTAAGGCAGAAACGTGCCAGTGGTTATTTTCTGTGCAGATGCATGTGGAATAAAATTTTCTTTGGAAGAGCATTGTGTGCCGGTTTTGCAGTTGATGAGAGAATTACTCCAGAAGAGGGCTATTTGTGCACTGAAAGTGGATTACAAGGATGCATGACAGGGGTGAGCTGTATGTTTTGTGTTTTCAGTCCACTTGTTCAAGGACAATGCGTATGCTGTGCGCTATGAATATACTTTTTTTTTTTAAAGCATCAGTATGGCTACGGCCATATCGCTACTTTATAACTGGAGCTATTAGTAAATTAGACCTACAGATTTTTACTGACATAGGGAGAGTAACAAACAATTATTGTGACATGGAAAATGCAGCACGTCTCAGCAATGATTAAAATCTGTCAAAATAAGCTTTTCTTATATTAACATATATTGGTAATACTTATTAGGGATGTTCAGATACTAGGGCTCTATTCACTAAGCTGCCGAAGGATCTAGCCGTAGCTTCGGCCGATCCTTCGGCTAGCTTCGGCCCCAGGACCCCTTCGGTTCAGTAGAACCGAAGGGGTGCTGTACGGGCTATTCAAAATAGCCCGTACAGCTCCCGATCATGGCCGAGCCGAACGCATATGCATCAGCTCGGCTGAGCCGCGCTGAAAGCCGAAGCTGGCCGAGCGGCCGGCCATTGGCCAGCCGACAGCCTGCTTCTGACAGCTGGGCGGAGCCAGCCGTGATCTTACGTCTGGCTCCGGCCACTTGCAGAGAGATCAGCGTCCCTGGTTACCTGCTAACCAGGGACACTGATCTCCAAACAGCAAACTCTCCCTGGCGCCCCGGGAGTCTCCTGCTCGCCAAAGAGAGAAACACTGCTGTTACTTTTTTATTATTATTCTGACACGGAGCTGTGACAGAATAGAGGAAAAAAAAAATGTTGCCCATTGGAATGCGATTAACTTTTTTTACTATTTTTCTGTTCTGCTCGGTCCCTCTGTGTGACCGAGCAGAACAGCCGAGCCGAATGCCACCTACGGCAGCTTAGTGAGTAGACCCTCACCTTACACTTACACCTAAGTATTGTACTAGGTGTAAGTACAAGTACAGATTACCTTTCCTGCTCCATTGAAAGACTAGACTAGAGAAAAAATCAAAAGTTAGTTGGCGGCTATCATTTTACAGATTCTGGTCTCTGAACATCCCTACTATTTACAATACATTAAATTGATCAAATGACATAAATGATTTGTAATTAAATTAAGAATAGACACAAATATAATGAAATTCATAATAATAATAGTTATAAAATGAAGAGATTCCTCTTATGTCTTTCCTAACTCTCTGCAGCTAGATTGGTCGTTTCCTATGAACATGAAACCCGCTTGATAAGTGATCTCTTTAAGAACTACAACAAATTTGTACGTCCAGTCGAAAATTTCAGCGACAAAGTTGTGGTGACGGTCGGACTGCAGCTCATTCAGCTCATTAATGTGGTATGAAAATGATCACCAGTTTATAAAGCAAAGTTTAATTGGCGTAATGGAAATAACCTAACAAGGTTCTCTGCTTCAATTACAGGATGAAGTGAATCAAATTGTAGCAACAAACGTTCGGGTGAAACAGGTAAAATAAAGGAGTATTTTCCAGTTTTGAGAAAGAAAGACTAAATTAAAATTCATGATACAGAACACGGTTCAATAATAAGAACTTTATATACAATACAATTCAAATGTGCTTGGAATCTTCTGTTTGAACATGCTGTTACATGTTACATTATTTGTTAGGTATTTACAAGCACCAAAAGCATCTCTGTGACCCCATACTTCAGGGTGAGATGGATACAAATTGTTGTTTCACAAAAGTGCAATCTGACCCAAAATTAAAAGATCCCCCAAATGATTACAGTCTTTCCATTTGAAATGTGTAAACATGGACTGGATTGTAACATTCGGTGCAGGTGCTTAAAGTGATCATAAAGTCAAACGGATAGATGCCGGCTTTTAGTTTCATTTTCGGGCGCATACAGCAGAGGACGCCGCGGGATCGCAGGGACAAGGTGAGTGTCACTTTTCTCTGCAGCCCCGAGTCTGGCTCGGGGTTACCGCTCCTAGCTGTGAAAATTCACCCCGAGCCAGACTCGGATTACCGCCAGGGAGGTTAAGCTATTTCAAATGTTGATTAAATCACTTACAATGGATGCTGCTCCTTCATGTGTAAAAAGTTTAGTTTCCTGTGGAATCAGCTGGTCCCCTGAACACTGGCCCTGATATTCTGTTTTAGGGTGGCTCTTTTCCCTTGCACGGTCCTATGGAGCCCCTTTGTGTGTTCTATTAAGTTTGTGTTTGTCTCCACAAGCAGAAAGGCAAGACACTACCCCCCTTCTGCTTCCCCCCTCCTCCAAGCTAGTAGATGGACAGACACTCTGCTGCTGCTCCCTCCTCCTTCACTTCTCTGAGATAGTAGATGGACAGCTACTGGAAATTTCTGTGCTGTCCTTTGTGGTCTTGTACTAGACAGGAAGTTCAGGGAAGTTGAGCTGAGAGAGTTGGAGCCAGTTTTTCAGAAACATGATGATTGTGTTTGGGCAAAAAAAAATAAAGAAATACTTTGCTGGGTCTGGATTCATTATTGAAAAATGTTTGAGAGTTTAATATTACTTTAAAGAGAAATTAAGAGCCACCATTGTGATGAAATTGTGGGCTTGTCATTACCAGAGTATTAAGGTGAACACAGCTAGTTTATTGTTGTTACACTTGTGGGCTTGTCATTACCAGATTATTAAGGTGAATGCAGCTGGTTAATAATTGTTACAATTGTATTTCTTTTGATTCTTTTCATTGGTTGTTTAGCAATGGGTGGATGTGAACCTAAAATGGAATCCAGCAGATTATGGAGGAACACAGAAAATCCGGATACCTTCCAGTGATATTTGGCGCCCAGATTTTGTTTTGTACAACAAGTAAGTAAAATAGAAAAAATCCAGAACTGATTATAATTATATTAATACAGTACGATGACCCCTTTATGCAAATCCTGTAAACTCTTCACTCATCACCCACACCCTGTTAATACAGAGTTATAGCTATCCATACAACTATGTCCATTTCCAAATTCCATAATATGGGATGATGCCATTAAATGCTTCATGTGCCTCTTAAATGGATGTAATGATTCAATAAATAGAATGATGTCATTATGATAAGGTAAAGCCTATCTCCAGGTAAAAAGAAAATTACCCTTGCAGTGGGACTACCCCTGAACTGCAAGGATTAACTGCTTGTTTTTGCCTACGGGACCTGAGTAAAGGACTTTTACTTACCCAATCCTCACTCCTGCAGTCTTCAAGACTAGTCCCTGCAGTCTTTTCCCCAGTCTGCTACAGCTGTCCGAGGCCTGATGATGTCACCATGTACAATGCAGGGCCCATAACTCTACATTAGTGGGGATCAGTTAAGTAAAGGTCTTCTTCTCTATCCCCCCTAGACATAAACGAGCAGTTACCCCTGCAGTACGGGGATAGCCACACTTTAAGAGTAGTTTTTTTTTTGTACCCAGAAATAATTCCTTTTTCCAGTGATATTGCCTGCAGCTTTCTGGCTCTAAACACATATTGATGCGCTCAATGCAGGAATATTCATTCCTCATTCAACTCAATCCAGAGCAGGTCTGCCTTCCCCAACCAGCACCCTCTAGTGATAACCAGGTACAGATTCTTTACAGCAAAGATTGAAGCCAGTACACGACCAGGCAGTGGCGTAACCAGAGTTATGGGCGCCCGGGGAGCCCGCAGTGGCCTCGGAAGAGCGAGCGGCCGCCCGATGACAGCCAGGTGATCGTGTCAGGGAGAGGGAGCCATGGCTTCGTTAAGCGGGGGTCGTGACGGCGCCCCCCCTCAGTCCTGCGCCCGGGGCAAGTGACCCTCCCGCACCCCCGGTTGTTACGCCACTGCGACCAGGCCATTCTGCTGGAAGTAGGATATATATTGAAGAAATAACCCTTCATATTAGCATTTCTTCAAAGCCTGCAGGGACAAGTAAAACTATATCATATTTATTGAAAAATACATTTACTTTTACTGTTAAATAAATAAATCTTGATGGCTGCACTCAGGAAATTGCACATGCTCCCACAATGCCTCAGTTCAGGGTCATGCACACATTTTCTACTATGGTTCATGAATTGTGTGTGTAATAGTATTTACTTATGTATGCATGCTGGGCTTTCATGAATAAAAGTGGGGCACAGCAGGTTTGTATTAACAAAGCGAATGTATTAACATATGGGACTGCGGTCTTATAACTGACTTTTCTTATAGCAGTCTCTCATCAAAGATTCTGACTCTACTGTCTCTTATCCAGATTGCCCTTGAGGGCACACTTATAATATATTATATATGATCATGAAAAATTAAGACGGCATGTATGTAAAGATCATGTTCAATATCAGTCCCAGGAGTGGATTTATAAAACAACCGTCCAGCGAAAAGCTGTTCGTAAACCCATTACTAGATGGAGCTGAGGAGCATAGGACATTCCTGTGTTTCTCGGCTCCATCTAGAAGCAGGAATGCTGTATAAACTGCATTCGTCCAGTGTAGTGCAGAAGTTTTATAAATCCTCCCCATAGAGTCAGGCCCGGATTTACTCTCTCTGCTGCCCCAAGGCCAGGTTCCTCAATGCGCCCCCCTATCCGCCAACCCCCCATGGAGAATGGCAGACTTGCAGTCTGAATACAAGTGATCTCAGCGACATCGCCGAGATCACTTGTACAAAACAAGCGGCGGCTTCCCCGCTGTACATTTAGCTCTGCTTGCCCAAAGCAGGGCTAAATGTAGAAAACAACTACCTGCCCGGTGCCCAAAACTGCATGTCCTGGGCATCGGGAGATAGGAATTCCACACCCCTGCTGCCCCTCTACTCCCTGCTCCCCCAAGGCTGGGCCTTGGTTGGCCTTCTGGGAAATTGGTCTTGCATAGAGTATGAAAACAAGAAAATGTAACATACATATTTGTTCCCCTTAAACATATGTCTTTTGTATAACATAAAGGTAAGGGACCGAGGAACTTTTATCAGCTCTACCCAACCTTTGCAAACATACACTTGTAACCCATAGTATTGTCTCCTTATAGTGCTGATGGGGACTTTGCTCTTGTCAAAGATACCAAGGTCCTTGTGGATTACACAGGCAAAATTACATGGATGCCTCCAGCTATTTTCAAAAGCTACTGTGAGATTATAGTCACATATTTCCCATTCGACCAGCAGAACTGCAGCATGAAGCTCGGTACATGGACCTATGATGGCAAATTGGTGGTCATAAACCCGGTAAGAAATATATTGATTATAAATGTTAACCAGTAACTCAACGATAGATTTTGTAATGTATAATGTAAAGTCACTACTTGCAGTCCTAGTAGAAATTCCTGCAATTAAACATATATATTATAGGAACAGAAATACAGTTAAAGCCAGACTCCACCTTTAACAAAAAATAAAATACTTAAAGTCCAGCACATATAAAAATAAAAAGCAGTTCTGTCTGCAATGCTTACTGACTCTCCAATGCTGTTGCCCACAGTGAGTATTGTAGGTGACACCAGTCTTTCTGATTGAATGACACCCAGTATCTTTCAACTCAGTTCCTGGGAGCCCAGGCTGTCATGGGAACACCCCCCTCTGGGTGCATCATTATACTGGCTGGGGCTCACCGTACACCTGGACAGCACATCACTTATGTCATTATGTGAGTGCCATCCCCTCCAGGGGTTAAGACGCCCACTGCCTCCACTAAGGATGAATACGAAGGAACTGTAACGTCAGCAGACCAGCCAGAATACTGCAGGAAAAAAGGTAAATACAGGTAGCCCTCGGTTTGTGCTTGTTCCGTTTGAGCTGTTTTGGGTGGTCACGCCACATAGAGACATGCTGGTGGGACAGGGGTACCCTTTGAGATGTGCTGGTGGCACAGAGATAGACATGAAGATACTGTACACAGGCATATAGAGACATGCTGGGGGCACAGGGGTACACTTGGAGATGTGCTGGTGGCACAGGGATAGACATGGAGATACTATACACAGGCAGAAAGGGATATGCTGGTGGTACAGGGGTACAATTGGAGATGTGCTGGTGGCACAGGGATAGATGTGAAGATACTGTACAGTATAATTAATACCTTAATTATAATACTGTAATTGTTTCTGGCATGTACAGTATTAAACAGAAGCACATTGCCATCTTCAATCTGCATTGCCATCTACAGGCCGAAATCGTATTCTCTGAATGAACCGCCAGCGTGCATGTAATCACCATGATTGGATATTATGGTTATATGATAGGGATCTGTGCTAATTGACCCCTACTCATTAGCAGAGACCTTTGACTGTCAATGACAGCAGCATCCGTCAGACCTGTGCAGGGCAGCCATCAGAAATGTTGGGGCCCCTTACACAGCTCCCCAGCAACACTCCACAGGCCCGTCCACTGGCCATCCCACTTGGTCCTTCAGTGCATCCACTGTTTAACACTCTTACAACATCATATATGAGAATGAAACATGTATTCCATTTCATCAGTGCAATACTTTAAGAGTAAGGAGTTTTATTAAGGCCAAAATCTATACAGCAAAAACTCATTGATTGGAGCCCGGGCATAACTGTGCACAATCCTTAATTTCAAATGTGGAGCGTAAATTAAAGTTCTCTTGGCACAGGACCCCAGCCTTGCAACGTTAATCTACAGATTATGGATGCCTGGCAATTAATCTACCAGAATGTCTTCAAAAGCATGGAGCCTTTTCACTTAGCAAAGTAAGTGTTTACTATCAAACATCTATGTACACTTTGCAAAGTAAATGTTCACTTTGTTTAGTAAATAGGGTGAATTTCAGTTTATCTCAAATGACCCCAGGCCAGCCCTATTTTGGCGTTTCATAGTTATTTTTAAGGAAAAACTGTTCTGAAAAATCTTCTGGTTAATGAATTAGTAACTGCGGATAGTGCTACATTTGTCTCACAGTATTAAACATAATACACAATCCTTTTTGGTCACAGTACATGTGATAGGCCCATTATTCTGATATCTGCCCTGAGCCCGCTCCAGTTTTCAAGCATCGCTCCAATGATAAATAATTAGGAAATCATTGCTTGTACAGGTTTCCATGGATGACTTTTAATGCAGAAGAATAATCCCCTGTACGAAGCCAAGCAGTAATCTGCACTGCACCTGGAGATTTTATAATAAGCACGAACAGTAATGTTTCTAATTTTATGTATTACAGGAAAGTGACCGTCCAGACCTCAGTAACTTCATGGAGAGTGGGGAGTGGAAGATGAAGGATTATCGCTGCTGGAAGCACTGGGTTTTCTATACCTGCTGTCCTGACGTTCCATACCTGGACATCACCTACCACTTTGTTCTGCAGAGGCTGCCTCTTTACTTTATTGTCAATGTCATCATTCCTTGTCTGCTCTTCTCATTTCTGACTGGTTTAGTGTTCTATCTTCCCACGGATTCAGGTATGTTGGACTCCATTATTAGAATCATTCAGACGATTGTCAGATTTCAGTTACATGCGCCCCTATAAAATTTTTACGGTCACCCATAAGGCTGCGGACTTCAGAGGTCAGATGGACATGCAGGCTCAGAGCAGTCTATAAACATCTACTCACCTGAGCAGGACTGTTTATGCAAACTGAGAACAGAGAGGGAATGAAGAGGGAAGAGAGGGGATGATGCCAATGCGCTTTATTATGGTGAGAACAATAGCAGATTTTCTAACCTGTCCAAGTGACTGCTTCCCTCAAAACCAGAAGCTGACAGTATCTGCAGCCTGCTGCATAGACCCCCTAGATGTCAGATCATCACCTGACCTGGCCCTAAACAGCTGAACAAGGCAATCTCTATTTCATGTCTATGTGACATTAATGTAATACAGGGCAAACTGATGAAACTATGTTGAAAGCATTGCCTGCCAATCTTATTGGCTGCTGCAGCCCCCAAAATAAACATCTTAATATAGGGCACATATGCACATCCCCCTTGCCTCCCATATTGCCCAAGTGACCTATCAGAAAACTGTCTCATGGGGATTTGGGGGCAAATGAAGCCCAATACACAGTATTATGTATTTAATATTGGGTTCTGTGCATACATTATCGAAAGCCTACATAACAAAGAAATAGAATAGAAAAATGCAAACAAGGAACACTATGCCATCTGAGAATGCTGATGTTGTTTAAAGCTGATGTACAGCCAAAAACTATTTTTAGGCATTTGGACTGTGAAAATGTGAAGGGAGGAGGGGAGATTGTGACATTAATCTGCACCTTCCCCAATCACAGAAAGCCTTGCACTCTGTGGAAGGAATGCAATGCGTTTTCTCAATTGATGAGGTGCCAAAGTGACCCGTTATGATCAATGTACTCCAGCCAGAGTCTCGGCAGGGGACGTTCAGCGCTTATTGTCCTGTAAGAGCCAAATGAAAGTAAAAGTTGTCCTAAACACAGTAGCATGCACAAATGGCGCACACCGCATTAGCGGTAATTTATGTTTACAGTGCAAATGCCCAAAATTTATCTTTAGAGTGCAGTAACCCAGGTAGTCATGGTGTTTGAATGCAGTGATCTATACTGTGATTGCATCGTACCAAAAGCAGATCAGTGGAAGAAGAAGGTTGCTTTGGATTACTACACCTTCAACATTCGTCTTATTAAATTATCTGAAGTGGAGATAAAACAAATCCTGAACATTTTTTTATTTAAAGGAGAACTATGGGGTCAGTGTTTTTCCCCATAGTTCTCCTTGGGGTAACGGGAGGACACAAACTAGCGTCCTCCCGTTACCCTAAGCTCAGTATACCGCGAGCTACAGCTCACGATATACTGAGACGCCGCACCTGGAGCAGATCCCGACTTAGATGACGGGATCCGCCCAGCTGCGTGAGTGACAGCTGGCTCTGCCTATCTAGAGGCAGAGCCAGCTGTACCCGCCCCCTCCCCGGTCCGTTCCGCCAGTCAGCGCTGGCAGATCGGAGCGGGGAGAGGGGAATCCAGCCCCTCCCCCTGTCACGGCAGAGAGCCGTGACAGGATCGAGAGGTGAGGGAACCCGGTATGTGTTCTCTCACCTCCCGATCTACTGAGCCGACCTGTGACAGTCTCATTGTCACAGGTCGGCTTAGAACTATGAGGTGAGTGGAAATCACTCATGTAATAGTTCTCCTTTAATTTGAATGCATTCTTCTAAGTATAAATGTTAATTTAATTTTCTCACTAACTCCACCAAATCTGAAATTTGATTGGTTGCTGCATGCCGCACCTTCTTTTTCCCTTCCTTGGACCACCAATCAAGAGAAGCATGACAGATGAGATCAGTTTAGCTGTCATGGTACATGTGTTCATATATTTTCGTATTTTATATATTTAAATCTTGAGAGCCAAGGGTTCACCGTGACTAAATATTGAATTAGCTGAAATAAACAGGAATGAAAGGTAGAGTTGTTTTTTATTTTGTTTTGTATTGGATTGAGGTGTGCAGGAGCTTCCTATAATAATGACGTGCTCCTCCCACAGCTCTACTCTCTGCACAGGTACAGCACAGTGATTATGTCACTGCTTCTTATACAAAGTGAGGGTTTGCAAAGACATTTGGCGTACACAAAGTGGATTTAAATCCTTTGTACTTAGTGAGGAATATATTTAAATGAATGTTTTTGTTTTTAGAGTTCAATTTTAAACAATGATTATCGATTTCTCTCACATTATCTGCAGGTGAAAAAATGACCCTCAGTATCTCTGTCCTGCTGTCCCTCACTGTGTTTCTTCTGGTCATTGTTGAACTGATTCCATCAACCTCGAGTGCTGTTCCCCTGATTGCAAAATACATGTTATTCACTATGGTACTAGTCATAGCATCAATTATTATTACTGTCATTGTGATCAACACTCATCACCGCTCTCCAAGTACTCATGTCATGCCTGCCTGGGTCAGGAAGGTAAGCTTGGAAAATGTACAAAATACTGTATTTGTCTCATGAACACACAGTTAGGCGCTCTGTTTAAAAGCGGAATTTCAGACAGATATAACAGACACAAATAATGCACCTCTGTAATCAATAATACATTTGGCTCGGAATCAGCAGCCCTTGTACAGCAAGGCTCAGACTGGTAGAGGGAGAAGCAACCCACGGAGCCAATCATTTGTGCTGCAGTGCAAGGAGCACGCTGATAGAAGAAGAGAGCCGATTGACTAATAGGAGGAGAAAGATGAGCTTTTCTCTTCACTGTCCAGTCACAGGGTGCAGGTGGGGTGGAGACCTGTATGGAGACCTCCTCCCCGGTCCGACATGGCTGCGCTGTGTGGTGGAACTGAGTACATCTCAGAACATAAATACAAATTGTTTCACAGTTAAAACAGTTCCCATATATGTATATCGTGTGTGTGTATGTGTGCGTGTGTGTGTGTGTGTGTGTGTATATATAATTCTGCCAATGTTCCAGAGTGAAACTTCTAAGTTACCACATACCCAACATGTGGGTGCAACATTGAAGGTGACCTCTTCCTTCTATGCGAAGGACAGACGATCTGTTTGTTGTTCCTGGTGATATTGGAAAGGGGCTTCCTGTCTCCACTGGGATTATTGCATTGTGGCTGGTTAAGACAAGCTGGAGAATTTATATGGCAGAGAGGATGGATCATCTGATTAATCCCAGGACCCATGTTACTGAAGGCAACTCACCTTCAGAATTTATCTCCCAAATTATTCTGCAGGGCAGTACCTGGTCGAAAATGCACCACATTCTTGGCCCATTGCAAAGAGGGTCCAGCGGCATTCACCACAGTGGAGTTTGGCCATTGGGTTCTGAATAACAATGTGTCCAAATAATTAAATACTTCAGCATTACCGACCCTTGTTGGTGTGCTATGTCCCATGTGTGGGCTGCCTTGCTTTAGTGTCAGGAAAATACAATTATCTGTAGATAAGCATACAATGTTCAACATATTTACAGAGGTCTATATATTAGAACAAAAAGAGGGACAATTACGGGATAGAATATAATGAGACAGATATAATGAGTTTGCTTCCAAAGAGGGACAATCCTGCTTGCTGCTGCTAGACTCATTCACCTAACCAACCGCTCAGTGTCTGCAACCCCCCTCTGCCAATCCCTGCACTGGCTTCCACTCGCCCAGAGGATAAAATTAAAAATATTAACAATCACTTATAAAGCCATCCACAACTCTGTCCCCGGCTATATCTCAAACCTTGTCTCAAAGTATCACCCTAACCGTCCCCTCCACTCCTCCCGAGACCTCCTGCTTTCCAGCTCCCTTGTCAACTCCTCCCATGCTCACCTCCAGGACTTCTCTAGAGTCTCTCCCATCCTCTGAAACTCTTTACCCCAACCTGTCCATCTATCTGCCACCCTAACTGCCATTAGGCGATCCCTATGATGTGCCTGCAGGGCTGTCTTCAGTGCCTCCTTGTTCCGCGGCTCCCTCTTCACAGTGGCCAGCGGGCCCCATATAATCGGGAGCCGCGCTGTGTCAGATTACACAGGCCGAGGCCCTGGTGCGCCTGCACCGGCGGTAGTTCCGCCACTGTCCACAATCTGTAATTAATCTGAACGTTTTCTAAGGCAGACACACTTTCAGACATTTTCAGTCTGTGTAATGTATATATAAAGTCCTGACCTTGATGTGCAAACATGAAGCAGCCTTGAGATAAAGAGGTAAAAGCAGAAGTTGCAGATTTGTAATATTTTGCAACTTCCTTCCAAACAGGACCTAATGGTTATTTGCCAAACATTGTATTGGGTTTTTATTTGCTTGGTTTCAGAAAATGTAGAAGCTTAATTTTAATCAAAATATTAAAATATACAAAATGTCGGCTGTCAGAGATTTTTCCGTCTTTGCCTTTCCTCAGGAGCTTCTTGTAAAAAACACCAGTCACTGCTGCTCTCTCCTTGTGCAGGGTGACTGGTCTTGTCTCCGCCCCTTCCTGTAGTGTAGGCAGCCTGATGGGCCCCTCCCACAGCTCTAATCTCTGCACAGGCTATGTGCAGCACAGTAATGATCTCACTGCTACTTTTACATGGGTTTTGCAAAGGCATTTGGTGCAGACCAAGAGGATTATATGCATCGTCAGGGCAGCCATCAGTAATTTTGGGGCCCCTTTCACGGCTTTAGGCTGGGGCACCCCCCTACGCTCCCCCATCTGAGACTATCTATGGTGGGCTCTGCAGGGGTCTCAGGTGGGCTGGTCGGGGCTGCATCTCCCTCCCTCCTAGCTCCTCTTACCTGCTCCTGCTGCTGGTGCCTGTACACCTGACCTCCTCTGCCGCCGGACTGGCCGGAAGTGACGTGATGCCACTTCCATCTGGTCCGAGGTCAGAACACTGGTGGCGCTGCTGGGGCCCCAGGCTCCTCCGAAGCCGCTGGATCTGCACTACTGGGACCAGGCCTCCTCCGGCGCTGTTGGGGCCCGACCGCCTCCGCCTGTCACCACCGGCCGATACCCATGTAAGGGTCCCGGGCCCCGCAGGCTGCCCGGGCCCCTTACATGAGTATCGGCCATACCCCCCTGATGGCGGCCCTGTCCATCGTGGCCATCAAGAAATATATTTGAATGAGTGTTTTTTTGCTCATAGTTCAGCTTCAAAATTTGCATTTATAAATAATATTTGTTTTATTGTATAGTGTCATGTGTCGATTTAAGTTCTTTCATTCAAATCGCATTACAGACAATCAGTTTTTTAGGCTGTGCTGGAGAAATGAAAGACAGTATCTAGTTTCTGTTTGAAACTTGCATTGTCAAAGACAATTCTTTTATCAGGTACATTGATAAGTAAGGAGAAAGGCATCTAAAACCCGTATCTTTTCCAGATATTTATTGACACAATCCCAAATTTGATGTTCTTCTCCACCATGAAACGCCCTTCACAAGAAAAACAGACCCCGAAGATTTTTGCAGAAGACATTGACATATCAGAAATTTCTGGAAAACTGGGTCCAGCTGCTGTGACCTACCAGTCACCAATCTTGAAGAACCCTGAAGTGAAGAGTGCTATAGAAGGAGTCAAGTATATAGCAGAAACCATGAAATCTGACCAGGAATCCAATAAGGTATTTATCACAGAGTTTGTCACCAATGTATGGCTAAATACCATATCACCAATACCAAGGATTTGTGGGGCATTATATTTGTAGCAGGCATAAGCGTGTGCAGCTGATTGCATTAGGGTGTGCACACAAAAGTACAAACACACACGTATATAAGATTTCCATCTCTTCAACTGTCCCTTACCTCTTCCAGCAGGGGCGCAGTTATGAAGCAGGGAGCCTGGAAGTTGGTCATGACCATCCGTCTGGCTTCGTGATTGGATGGGATGCTACAGCCACGCTCCCTCACAGCTTCAGAGGCACAAAGGACTGTGGCTGTTTGTGTGGAATGAACGCTCTGTATTTCTGAGCTGGTCACAGAGAGATCACCGGCTCAGTGACTAAAAACACAGCGCCCGCTGTTGCAGTTTCAAGGTTGCGCTCAGGGTGATTAGGGTGTTCCCAGGCACATGTGGCACACCCTGTGCGCACACCAATGGCAGCAGGGAAGCATGCTTATATTGAAGAGTAAGCAACTAGCACCAAATACCACTAGGGCAGGTCTATAGTGACCTGACTGTAGTAATTAAAGTACTACTAAGCTCAAAGGTTTTTTTCTTCATTTTCAATAGAGCAGAGAATGGTTAAAAACAATATTTGGTGTTTTCTGTTGTCTTAGTTATCTTAGTTATGTTAGACGGTTGTCACTGAAACAAATGTCCCCACTCAACAGTCTCTACCCTATTCCTGCTTTGGCGACAACTCAAATTTTTGATTTTTCCTCACTTTCAGTCCCTGTGAGAATGGTCAACCAGATAAAAAGAGAAAGTGACATACAATTGAATCTGTGGTTTATATCATTGTAACATATCTGATTCCCTAAGGGACACCCCTCTGAATTACACCTTAACCCCTGAGGAAGGGGGGGATTGTGTTTGTCCACAAAATGCGTTGGCACTTTATCTTTACCATAAAAACTCTTTTGGACTCTACTGTGCGTGGTGGCACGTCCATTCTTTGTTTTAATTGACTTCTCCAAGGCCCCTTCCTGGGCTGGGAGGAAATGCAGACACTATCAAGCAATTAGGAACTATGAAAGAAACTCATATTAAAATCAAGAGACATTTACAATCAAAGATCACTGCCAGAGATGTGGGTGTCACCTGGTGATGGACGCCAACACAGAGAGGAGGGGACGTTCATAAAGCGTGATAAGGTATGCTGCCGGGTGCCCTTCTCTCTCACTCGGTCATGGAGGAGAGAAGGGCACCCGGCGGCCCCTCTGGTTTCACCCTTACCCCCCTTGTGATGCCACTGATCACAGCCTCTCATTCTTATTTATACCAGAAATTAAGTCCTGGCAGAGATTCTAACCCCTTAACACTCTATCCACACTCTATCCAAAAAAGCCCAACTTAAAGGAGAACTATGAGGTGAGTGAAAATCACTCATCCTCAAAGATCGAGCCGACGTGTGACAATGAAACTGTCACACGTCGTCTCAATAGATAGGGAAGTGAGCGAACACATACTGTCGCTCGCTGACTTCTTTATCATCTCTCTGCAGAGAGCCGTGACTGTCAGTCACGGCTCCCTGCAGGGATTCCCCCTGCCCCGATCCTCCAGCGCTGACTGGAAGAACGGACGGGGGAAGGGCGGGTACAGCTGGCTCTGCCTCTAGATAGGCAGAGCCCGCTGTCACTCACGCAGCTGGGTGGATCTCGACAGTAATGTCGGGATCCATCCTGGCTGCGCAATATACTGAGCTTTGGGTCACGGGAGGACGCTAGTATATGCCCGCCCGTGACCCTTAAGAGAACTATGGGGTAAAACACTTACCCCATAGTTCTCTTTTAATCTTGGACAAAAGCTTGCTTAAGTTAAAAATTAACGTCAGCACCAACTGCAACGCTTGATCAAAGGCTACTTAGGGTTAGGGCTAGCTTCATTCATCTCACATCTTGTGAGCCCAAGAACTCACAGAAAAATGTTGTGGAGGTCAGCACAACATCATTATGTGCCACTACTCTCTGCAGCATTTAGGATTCACCCACCACCATAGGAAAAAAAAGGCTGAAAGGGACCTATGATGGCACCAGAATACACAAAAGACATTGGTAAATTATTGATTTTTGCAAAGGGTGAGGAGTGCTCCAAGAGGGGTTGGAAGCAAATAGGGTGGGGGAGTAATCCCAAACCTGGAGATCAAATGAGGCTTCAAATGCTAGAACTACCAATGATTAAGAGGCAGGAGGAATACTTTGCTTTACCCCAGATCCACTTAGGTTGGGTGGCCCAGCTTTTAAACCATGGGTTCATGTAGAGTCAGCCCAAGAGTTTTTTGATTCCCAGCATGCTGTTACCTGCAATTACAATATAACCCATTTACTCTCCACAGGCATCAGAAGAATGGAAGTTTGTTGCAATGGTGCTCGATCATGTCCTCTTGGCAGGCTTCATGATAGTCTGTGTCACCGGAACACTCGCTGTGTTCGCAGGGCGCCTTATTGAGCTAAATTCACAGGAATGAACATAGTTTGGATTTCATGACATTCAGAAGAATATCCCAGGAGGAAGAAAGTTATGACTGCAATGCTTATAGAAGGCAAAAGCGGTTCTTCTTCACCATTTTGTATAACGTATTACAGAATGTATGTCATCTACATAAATAATGATAATGTTCTTAAAACAAAATTCCAATTTGGTGGAAAAACAGGGACATTTTCTAAATCTGGATCTTTTTAAATAATTATATATAGTGAACAATTGTATTTCCTTTCTTTGCAGATGAAGGATTTAATAGGTAGTCCAGGAGCTGTCATCACAGATGTTGTGTCTTTTCCCACCCCCACTATTGTATCATGCACAACACATTTTATACAGAGCAAATTATGAGGCACTCCTTCAGTAGAAGAATGAGAAGAATGTAAGGGGGGCCACATCCCAATTCAAACATTCGTATAAAGCATATATACAATGATGGACTTTTTAGGCACCCACAGAGTCTGCTTCATTAAAGTATAACAAATGTTATTTTTATCAAGATTGCCCCCTTGCCTCTCCTATTTTCCTCCTAAATACACCTATTTAGTCTATTTTTACAATATTTCATATATTAACCATTCATTAGACTTTATTTGGTTGATACTATAACTTATTGCTGGGTGTAAGGGGGTATTTCGCTCAATGCGTTTCACGGACAGGGTCGCTTCTTCAGTAGTAAATTGAGGCAGAGCAGAAAATATATAGACATATACAAAACATTATTCCATCTTATCATATGCTTTTAAAACAGTGTCATACAATATGTGTATTTATATCTTACTTAGATAGAAGTCTTAGATATAAGGAGCCAACCACTCAGAGGCATCATATGTTTCTGGCTGCACGGGCGGGCCATGAGACAAGCAGTATGCGGCTTCACAATTAGTAATGGAGTATGTGTAACCAATTAGTAACATCCACAAACATATTTAATACGAATGGTCATCTAATATCTTTGACAAGCATACCGATTTATCTATTATTTTCTCATCTGTCAGATGTTACTGCTGATTCTACCAACTGCATATACCAGATACTAGAGACCAAAATACCAAACTTCTCACTAGCAGAAGATACAGACAACTGTCAGCACGTATGCATTGTATATCTATTCGCAATGGGGGAGAGACAACTCATAAATAGCTGCCTACAAGAGAAAGCCCCAGTCCTGTATCAGGAGTGTCTAACAGTCTCAATAGGTAAATAATACACCCAAGACAGGCAACCATTTACAGAGTCTCCCTAGGATAATTATATTCAGAAAAGGTAGAGTCAATTTATGAGATCCAATTAAGGTTTCATACAAAATATGAACAAAAATCTTGAGGAGCTGATTGATTTTATCATGATTTTATGTTTTCATTGATTAATTAATGAATTTGGTTTAATAAAATCAGTTATATGTCATTGAAGCCGACTCTGTGGGTGCCTAAAAAGTACATCATTGCACTCCTATTGCCTCATGAGAGTGGAGCATTTTTTCCTGGTTCCAGTTAAATCATGGCATTGTGAAAACATGGACACCCCCTTTTTTTTTTAATGACCCTGTCAACACAGAAAAAGCTTGTTACGATTTATGAGTGAACATTCTCAACTCCTTTTGTAAATCAGCATCAATGCTTCACAATGTGCTCATTCCTTGTTGCTCCCTAAACAAAGCAACATACATATACTGTATTTAGTTGTATTTGTCATACTGTATAATATTACTTTTGTTTTAATTTCTACTGCATTTCATGATTTTTTTTTCTTTTCATTTTGAATATAGTTCCTCTTAGTTGGTAAAAGCCTTGAGTGAAAGTTTTGTGGAGTTTCCGAAACATAATAATAAATGGGGGTTGGTTGCGACAAAGGACAAGGTTTTCTCTGTCTGTATTAGTTAAAGGGAAGGTAGATAAGTCACTGGAGCAGAAAACAGTACATACAGTTCCAGTGAGTAAATTGTTCTGTATGTCACCTCCTGTCATATCAGTCTGACTTCGGGGGTAGTATGCAGGTCTCCAGAGGACAAGAAGTCCTGTACTCTGTATTCATTTCGACATCGTAGGATGCTTGTATAAGCCTTCCAAAAGCAGATAATTTTTATATACAATGGGCTTTTCCAACACCAAAGTATGTTTTTGTTTTTACTCCAGAATACCTAAAATGCAATAAGTTTGGTTTGAGGACGTTCTCAAGTTTCCAGGCAGAAAGAACAGTAAAAGTGCAGGCAGGGACAAAGCTCCAGGGACAAAATTGAAGTGAAATGGTTTGGTACATAAGTGTAATTATAGCAGATTACATTGTATTTGTATGTATTCTGTGTAACTGTAATGTTTTCACTTTTGAATTTCCCATCGGCTCCGCCCCCCGCTGTGACGCCCGAAAACGAAAGTAAAACTCAGATGCCGGCCGCGTACAGCAGAGGACGCCGCGGGCTCGCAGGGACAAGGTAAGTGACACTTTTCTGTGCAATCCCGAGTCTGGCTCGAGGTTACCGCTCTTGGTATCGAAAATTAACCCCGAGCCAGACTCTGGAATACCGCCAGGGAGGTTAAAGCACACCATTAATGCAATTGCAAGGTCTGCTTACTTAGCTGCCTTCACCCCCTGCATAAAAAAACAAACTGAAAGCAACAGAACATCAATAGAAATGTGATAAAAATGCTTACCTTACACCACGGGTGGGCAACCTCGGTACTTCAGCTGTGGTGAAACTGTAAATCTTATCATGCCTCTAGGAGTCATGCTTGTGGCTGTCGGAGTCTTGCAAAGAATCATGGAAATTGTAGTTCCACAATAGCTGGAGTGCTGTGGTTGCATACACCTGCCTGACAACCTAGCTCCGGGATGTTTCCTGTAGATGCTGGTGATATTACTGGGGCTCATCAAGGAATCCTGGGAAAGCTCAGGATGGCAACTCTCATGAGAAGACACACCAGCACTGTACAGAAAAGAGCACATTCTCAAGGGATTTGGGATCCTCAGCTTTCTCTGGATCCCAAGATGAGACCTAGTGACATCACCCTCCCCCTAGTCCAGCGTCAGAATCTGGGGTGTAAGTTGAGTATTTTTTACATTTTTCTTTTGATGTTTTATTACCTTCAGTTTACATTTTCTATTGGTGGGACTTCAAGTTAGCAGACCTTGTACAGTGGTACCTCGGTTCACAAACTTAATTCGTTCCACAATTCTGGTCGCAAACCGAATCAAACTGTGATCAGACTGCGATCTCGACTAGGGGAAGCCACGACCATGTGCCAGAGCAGGGAAGATGGCTGCGGTTGTGTTTGTCACCCGGTGCAGGGTTCGTGAACGGTGGCAATATTTTGCCGAACTTCCTGTTCGCTGACCGAATTGTTCGCAATCAGAATCGTTCGTGAACCGAGGTACCACTGTACTTTCATGCAAAATTTGCTTTAAGCTGTTTGTTTTACTAATAATTTTATTTATAAAAAAACTGACATGGGCAATTCAGACTGAGGATATGGTGAAAAAACTAGATTTAGTTACCTTCAACGAAAACAACATGTCACAACATCAATGAAACAGCATGTTGAAATCAGTGACAATCAGTTCCAGTGATGGACAGCCTCATTGATCAATAGAGAAGCTCGAAAGGCAAAAGAGGGGGACAACTGGAAAAAATAAGATATGAATATGACTTCAGCTGCCTCTATCTTTGGATTACTGATTGTTCTGACATGAAGTTTACACTGAATATAACTTCTGCCTATACATTTTATCATTTGATCGGCTTTGAATTGCACAAGAGTATAACGGGTTTACTTTGAGCAAGAGTACTACCTTGTTCCATACGATGGCAAATTGTAGCTTTAGCCAAATGTTTGTCTTACACATTTTTATTATTAAAACATTATTATTATATACATACTTGGGTCTGAGATGTTATTTGTTAATAATTAAAAAACAGTTTTTCAAGCTTTTTCAAATGCTGATAAATCACTTATAATGGATGCTGCTCCTTGATGTTTACAAGTTTTAGTTTCTTGTGGAATCAGCTGGTCCTCTGAGCACTGGTCAGAGTGGCTCCTTTCCCTTGTAGGGTCCTATGGAGCCACCCTTGTGTGTGCTAGTATGCTGTGTGTGTCTCCACGAACACACAGAATCTGGAAATTAGGCCACTCTACTGCTCCTCCCTCCTCCTTCTTCCCTTCTCTGAGATTGTAGTTGGACATCTTCTGGAGATTTCTGTGCTGTTCCTTGTAATCTCGTACTTGTCAGGAAGTTCAGGAAAGCCGAGCTGAGAGAGTTGGAGCCAGCTGATCAGAAACATGATGATGTAATTGTTTAGGCACACATTTAAAGAAATATACGGCCAATGTACAGTATATTTGTTTTAAGTAGATTCATTGTTGAAATAAATTCATTAATAAATAATGACTCCACGGTGCATCTAGCATTGCAACATGTGATGCAGGAACGTATGTGGCATTCACACTCATGTATCATGAAGATGTGAACAAAGCCTAATACTACTAAGGGAGAACTATGAGGTGAGTGATTTACACTCATCCCCATAGTTAGAGCCGACGAGTGACATTGAAGCTGTCACACGCCGGCTCTATTGATCGGGAAGTGAGTGAAAACATACTGTCGCTCGGTCACTTCGCGATCATCTTCCTGCAGACAGCGGTGACTGTCGCTCCCCGCAGGGATTCCCCCCTCCCCTCTCCTATCTTCCAGCGCTGACTGGAGGGACGGACAGGGAGGGGGCGGGCACAGCTGGCTCTGGCTCTAGAGAGGCAGAGCCAGCTGTCAATCAGGCAGTGGGGTGGATCCCGACAATATTGTTGAGATCTTTGCTGTCAGCTCTGCGCTGTCTGCGCTGTCAGCTTATAGCGGACAATAGCCCATAGTAAGTGACCTCCTGTGACCCTAAAGAAAACTATGGCCAAAAGTGTTAAAGTGTTGACTATGGCCAATTTTGGGTGTGCTATTTTTTAGCGATTTTGCGGGCACGCGCAATTTTGATATGTTTGATGT